CACAAATATAGACCTCTTCTAGTTGGTTGGTCAGATAGCTGTCTTCCAAATTTCCTGGCATAAATGAATAAGCACCTCCAGCACTGTAGCCGTTTGTTGAAATATCTCAGTGAGTAGCCTGGCAATTCCTGGAGCCTTGTTTTTTGCAAATTCCTCAGTGCAGTTAAGACTTCTTCCTTCAATATCATCAGTTCTTGATCACATGCCACCTCCTGAAATGGGTGAATGTCAACCAATTCTTTTTGGTACAGTGATTATGTGTCTTACTTCCATCTATTCAGCTCTTTTACTTCATCATTTCTTCTATTTGCTTTAGCTATGCTCCATTCAAAAGCAAGTTTTAAAGTCTCTTCTGACATCCATTTTGGTCTTTTCTTTCTCTCCTGTGTTTTTAATGACCTTTTGCTTTGTTCACCATATGATGTCCTTGATGTCATCCCACAATTTATACAGTCTCGGTCACTGGTGTTTAATGGGTCAAATCTATTCCTCAGGTGGTCTCTAAATTCAGGTGGGATATAATCAAGGTCGTATTTTGGCTCTAGTGGACTTGTTTTAATTTTCTTCCAGTTCAACCTGAATTTGCCTATGAGCAACTGATAGTCTATTCCACAGTCAGCTCCTGCCCTTGTTCTGACTGATGATATTGTGGATTCTCCATTGTCTCTTCCTGTAGATATAGCCAATTTGTTTCCTGTGTCTTTCCTCTGGTGAGATCCACACATACAGCTGCCATCTATGTTGTTGCAAAAGGTATTTGCGATGAATAAGTCATTAGCCTTGCAAAATCCTATCATGCGATTGCCAGCATTGTTTCTATCACCAAGGCCATATCTTGGAGCTACCAATCCTTCTTTGTTTCCAACTTTCACATTCCAATTACCAGTAATTATCAATGTATCCTGATTGCGTATTTGGTCTATTTCAGAATGAAGAAATTGGTAAAAATTTTCAATTTATCTTTGACTTAGGTGGTTGGTGTGCAAATTTGCCTAAAAGTAGTATTGACTGGTCTTCCTTGTAGGTGTATGGATATTATCCTATCACTGACAGCACTGTACTTCAGGGCAGATCTGAAATGCTCTTCTTGGTGATAAATGTGATGCCATTCCTCTTCAATCTGTCATTCCCAGCATAGTAGACCATATGACTGTCTGATTCAAAATGGCCAATACCAGTCCATTTCAGCTCAATAATGCCTAGGATATAAATTTTTATGCATTCCATTTCATTTCTGACAAACTTCCAATTTTTCTAGATTCATACTTTGTACTTTTCATGTTCTGATTACTAATGGATGTTTGAAACTGTTTCTTCTCTTTTCGAGTTATTCCCCATCAGCAAATGAAGGTCCTGAAAGCTTTACTCCATCATGTCATTAAGGCTGACTCTACTTTGAGGCAGCTCTTCCCCAATCCTATTCTGAGTACGTACCTTCCAACCCGAGGGCCTCCTCTTCTGGCACTGTATCAGTGTTTCACTGCTATTCATGAGGGTTTTCGTGGCCAATTTTCTCAGAAGTGGATGGCCCTGTCCTTCTTCCCAGTCTTAGTCTGGAAGCTCCACTGAAACCTGTCCACCACAGATGACCCTGCTGGTAGTTGAAATACCAGTGGCATAGCTTCCAGCATTACAGCCACACACAAGCCACCAGAGTAGGACAAACTGACAGACGAGTGGCTGCATTCTGTCTAAACTACCAGGTCCCTTCGGACTTTCAGATTCTTCTTTAATTCCCGTAAGGAAATGCAGAGGGTACCACACATCTTAGGAGCAACATTTCCACTCTCTCCTTGCCAATGATGCTTCTGCCTTGGCTGGTCATCCCACCCCACCCCACCCCACCCATTTTTGTTCTATCTTTTCCAAATGGATCTTCAAATATCCTTCTGTCTTTCCTCATCCTTACACTTTTGTAGCCACTTATTTTTCTTCCTCTGACAATTCTACTTTGTCTTTGCACTTAAGAGTGTGCTTCCTCCCCTTTACCTAGAACAGCAGAGGAAGCAGTAATCACAAACTGGAGGAGGATATGAAATGTGTGGCAATTTTCTCCATGAACAGTTGCCTCTTTAGTCATGACACCAGAAGAATTAGATGGTGCCCAGCTACCAGTCCTGAATATTTTCATCAGTTTCCATAGACGAATCCAGATCAAAAGGGGGGAAATGCAGAAAAGAATTTCACATTCTCATGGACTCTAGACTTTCTAGAGCCATGGAGAGTGGATGAACCCCTGAAACTACTGCCCTGGATGATCTTTAAACTTTAAACTGAAAACGTCCCCTGAAGTCTTAAAACCAAGTAATAGTTTAGCTTAATTAGTAAAAAAGGTCTGCCTTGAGCATTATGCTCTTTTAAGAACTATCTATATAGGATCAAATTGACAGCAGTGACTCTGAAGATGAGACAGGAACATCTGGGGGCACACTGATGGGGAGGAGTGACCAGGAGAAGGGTGGGGGCGGCAGCGCAGTTTGAGGGATGTCACCAGTGTCATAGAGTTGTACATGGAGAAACTATTAGTGTGTGCTTTGCTGTGTACAGTCTCAACAAGAAAATAAAAAGAAAATGCAGAGTTCCTTGTTCAAAAAGCAGGGAAAAAGTGTCATTAAAATTACTAAAATACAAAGCTTTTCCTCTAAAAACGTTCCACTTATAAAACATAACAGGAGAAACACAGGAGTCAGCAGCAACTAAGAAACACAAACAGAAAAGTGTTTTCATGCTCACACTTCATGTTAATAGGAGCTCTGGTGGCGTAGTGCCAGAGGCATGTGACTGCTAACCAGAAGGCTGGCAGTTCAAACCCACCAGCCACTCCTTAGAAGGAAGGTTGGCAATCTACTTCCGTAATCATGCCGCCTCGGAAACCCAAGGAGGGGTCGCTATGAGTCGGATAGTAAGCAGCAACTAAGAATCACAAACAGGAAATGTTCTCATGCTCACACTTCATGTTAATAAGCTTCTGGCTCATTTCGAACCTGCTCCCACCTCCTTCTCCGCACAGCCCCACTCCAGCCGCTGGTTCTAACCTGCTCCCACCTCCTTCTCCGCACAGCCCCACTCCAGCCGCTGGTTCTAACCTGCTCCCACCTCCTTCTCCGTGCCGCTGTTTCTGCAGCATTCCTGTTTGGCCTTAGCATCTCTCTCAGGGCATCACTCACCCACATAGGCACTTGGGTACAGGTTGCTCTCCTTGGACTCCTGCGGGGCCGCAGCCTGAGGCTCTTCCTCTTGTTTGATCCAGGACAGAATATCTGATGTCGAAATACCAGGTTCTACTTGTAAGAAGAGAGAGAAAGATCTCAGTGACTGGAACTAAAAAGTGAAAAGATCAATTGGTTTGCTGATCACTATGTTTTGCCCAAATATCTATTTCTACCTGAACTGCAACCACACAGAAGCAGCCTTTAGAAGAAGCTGAAGTCCAAGGTCTCCAAACAGTAAGGACTTGGAAATGGATGTTCAGTAATTGTCACTCCATCTGAACTTCTTAGGTAAAGCTGGAGTTCACTATTAAATCCACCAGTGACTGAACAATGGACAGACAGACACACATACACACGAGTAGTCTGCAGTTAAAGAGTCAGGGAAGCAGTGACTAAACAAAGGACACACACACACACACACACACACACACCAGTCTGCAGTGAGAGAGTCAGATGAGAAATGCAAATAATCTCACAAGTTTGTATTTTTCTATATTCTCCCAGCTATTCTGTCCTGACTATTAAAAGAGACCAAGACTGATAATCCCTTCCCCTACTTACCTTCACCGGGGTCTGTGGGAATCTCCCGCTCCTCAGGCCCTGTCTGGCCCCCTGTGTTATGTTCTCCTTCTGGTGGGATCTGAGATAAGCCCTCAGGCTGGTTCACAGCGTAATCTAGGAGAGGAAGAGGTGACAGATGAGGACAACAACCAGCCACTATCTAGACTGAGTTGGAGGCAAAGGCTCTGAGGTCACAGTCCAGAGCACATCCTCTGGACCCCACACCACACGTCCCCATCCCTCTGCCTCCCAGTGTGGTGACCTGTTCAGGAGAGCAGGTCAGAGGGACATAATGTGCAGGGCAGCCAACGGCTCCTTCAGTACTGCCTGCCCACCACTGTCATGAGTAAGGGTGACAATGGGCCTCAGAGGACAGCAGGCCCCTTCTTGGTGCCCAGGAAAACCCTGTCACTCCCTGGCCTACGAGCCAAAAGAGAGAGAGGATTTCCTGTTTAGCAAGGGTTAGTTGGTCCTCCCTGGCTTGAAGGCAGAATCTGCAGTATGTGAGGACAGACAGCAACAATGAGGACATGGAGGAAGGGGACAGCTCCGAGCTCCCTGGAGCTGCTGGCACCTTGTTCACCCGTGGAGACGAGGGACTCGTGGGTGCCCTTCCCGAGGTTCTTGTGCAGCTCCTTTTGCCACTCTTCCAATCGCTCCCACTCTGGAGGGGAGAAGCAGATGGAGACGTCGTCAAATGTCACAGGTGCCTGGAAGGATAATCAGCAGGGTCAGTCCCTGCCACTGCAAGTTAGTCACTTGCTACAGCGCAGTTAAGGGCCCACCCACTGCACAGGGAAGCACTGAGGGGCACAGGAAACTACAGACACAGATCCAACCTCCCGGAGGCTGCAGTGCTTCCAGGGGAAAGGTCAGAAACCTCCCTGAGCTGGTAGAGGACATGATCTGTGAGCAGTCACTCAGAGAGGTACAACTCCCAATATAGCGTCAGACAATGTTTCACTATGATTCATAACATTTTCAGTGGCCAATTTTTTCAGAAGTAGACAGCCTCGTCCTTCTGTCCAATCTGTCCTAATTCTGGAAGCTCCATTGAAACCTGTGTACCATGGGTGACCCTGCTGGTATTTGAAATACCAGTGGTATAACTTCTAACATCACATCAATACACAAGCCACCAGAGTACGACACACTGACAGACAACCTGTACTTATGACACCATTAGAAGAACAGGTTTGACGCACTGAACACCAATGACCAAAGACCAGACAAGTTGTGGGATGACATTAAGAACATCATACATAACGAAAGCAAAAGGTCATTAAAAAGACAAGAAAGGAAGAACAGAAAACCGGCTCTTGAACAGATGGATGATGAGCTCAAAGAGCTGAACAGAAGCTTTCAAAGGGCAGCTCAGGAACAGAAACTAGTCTAATGAAATGTACAAAGACCTGGAATTAGAAAACCAAAAGGGAGGAACACACTCAGCATTTCTTAAACTGAAAGAACTAAAAATAAAATTCAAGCCTTGAGTAGGAATACTGAAGGATTCCATTGGAAAAATAGTGAACGATGCAGGAAGTATCAAAAGAAGATGGAAGAAATACAAAGTTACTGTACCAAAAATAATTGGCTGACATTCATCCATTTCAGGAGGTGGCATATGATTAAGAACCAGTTGTACTGAAGGAAGAAGTTGAAGTTGCACTGAAGGAACTGGTGAAAAAACAAGACTCTAGGAATTCACAGAATACCCAATGAGGTGTTTCAACAAACGGATACCCCACTGTAAGTGCTCACTCATTTATGCCAAATAATTTGGAAGACCGCTACCTGGCCAACTGACTGGAAGAGATCCATATTTGTACCCATTCCAAAGGTGATCCCATAGAATGTGGAAATTATCGAACAATACCATTAATATCACACGTAAGGAAAATCTTGATGACAATTCAAAAAAGGCTATAGCAGTATACTGACAGGGAACTGCCAGAAATTCAAACTGGATTCAGAAGAGGACATGGAATGAGGGACATCGCTACTAACGTCAGATGGATCTTGGCTGCAAACAACCAATACCAGAAAGACGTTTACCTGAGTTTTACTGACTATGCAAAGGCATCCGACTATGTGGATCATAACTATTTATGGATAACACTGAAAAGAACAGAATTCCAGAGCACTTAACTGTGCTCATGAGAAATCTGTATATAGACCAGGAGGCTGTCGTTTGAACAAAAAAAGAGAATAATACTGCATGGTTTAAAATCAGGAAGGAAGTACATCAAGGTTGTATCCTTTCACCATATTTATTCAATCTGTATGCTGAACAAATAATCCAAGCAGCTGGACTATATGAAGAACGTGACATCAGGATTAGAAGAAGACTCATTAACTACCTGCAATGTGCAGCTGACACGACCTTGCTTGCTAAAAGTGAAGATGGCTTAAAGCACTTACTGATGAAGAGCAAAGACTACAGACTGCAGTATGGACTACCTCTCAACATAAAGAAAACAAAAATCCTCACAACCATTAAGCAACATCAAGATAAATGGAGAAAACACAAAAATTGTCAAAGATTTCATTTTACTTGGATCCACGATCAGCACCCATAGAAGCTGCAGTCAAGAAATCAGACACTGTATTGAACTGGGCAAGGCTGCTGCAAAAGATACCTTCAAGGTGTTAAAGAGCAAAGGTGTCACTTTGAAGACTAAGGTGCGCCTAACCCAAGCCATGGTATTTCCAACTGCCTCCTATGCAAGCAAAAACTGGACAATGGATAAGGAAGATGGAAGAATTGATGCTTTTGAGTTGTGGTGTTGGTGAAGACACTGAAAACACCAGGCTGCCAGAAGAATGGACAAATCCGGCCTGAAGAAGGGCAACCAGAATGATGCTCGGAGTGAGAACGGCTCAACCTCACGTCACTTCCTTAGGTCATGGTGTCAGAAGGGACCATTCCCTGGAGAAGGATATCATGCTTGGTAAAGTGGCGGGTCAGCAGAAGAGGCGAGACCCTCGATGAGATGGATGACACTGTGGCAGCACCGACGGGCTCAGGCTCAGCAAGACCGTGAAGCTGGCGCAGGACCGGGCGGGCTGGCATCCTGTTGGACACGGGGTCCCTGTGAGTCAGAGACGACTCGAAGGCGCCTAACGACGACGAAGAGCCACGTTATGGACTGAATTATGCCCCTGAAAAGATGCATCATAAATCCTAACCCCGTTGTGGCTTTACTCCCATCCAGGAAGACGTTTTCTGTTATGCTAACGAGGCCGTGTTAGTGGCAGGTGTGCTGTAATAGATCTCTTTTGAGATACAGAAGAGCAGACTGAACAAGAAGCAAGCAGAGATGGGAAAAGATCGATGCCATGCCTCCCGAGACTTGCAAGGAACCAGGAAACAAAAGAGAGACAAGGTCCTTTCCCCAGAGCTGACACAGAGAGAAAGCCCTCCCCTACAGCCAGCAGCTGGAATTTGGATTTCTAGCCTCCTGAGCTGTAAGATTTGTTTGTTAAAGCCCCCACGTGTGGTGTTTCGGTTAGAGCAGCCCTGGAGAACTAAGACAAGCCGTGAGGGTGCAGCCGCAGTGGGAACACAGCCAACGGGAGTCGAAGCTCCTCGAAGACAGGGCCCTGCCTTGCTCATACCCAGCCTCCACAGCAGCCAGCTCAGTGCCACACGGTGACGTACACACACCAGGTGTACAGACATCAGATGCGTGCTGAACCAGCAAGCATGGGGGATCATGGGATGGGGCTCGTGGGGAGAAGGGGTTTGTTTGGCTACATTTCTGGTCTCCCCCAGGACTTCTCCACAGGTCCTCTACCTGATCCAAATGACTTGCCCGGAGGGTCAGGGGCAGGGCAGCAGGAACTCTCTCGGTAAGGACCCTGTGGTAAGGGGACAAGAACATGTCCCTTGGGGTAATCCCCCGTGTTTTGGTGGCCCTCTGCTCTGAGGACCACCTGCTGCAGCAGAGGCCCTTGCCTGTACCTTGATGGAGCCACCCTTGTTTCCCCAGGGCCAGGACTCCCACCGGAGGTTGGCCCACTAGAGGCACCTGCAGCTCTGACCCGGAAAGGAGCACCTTCACAGGAGACAGAGTAACAGGCGGGGACGAAGGTCAGGTCAATTGATGGCTCCACCTGGCCTGACACCAGGCTGGTCTGCTCAGGGTCATAGAGTAAAGATTATTTGATGTTTATGAAACCAGAGCGGGGAGCTGGTTCTCACTGCACCTGCTCTGGATACTGGATATAGAGCCCTTCACTCCAGGGAAACTGGACTTTGAAACGCCAAGACTACCTCACATGGAGCTGGGTGAATACCAGTGTTTTCCTCCCAACAGTCTACTTTCCAGACTCTATGTGGCGTTGGATATCAATTCACTGTATTTTACAAGACTACAACTTTCTGGGAGCTCTGGTGGCGTAGTGCCTTGACTGCTAACCAGAAGGCTGATGGTTCAAACCCACCAGCCACTCCTCAGAAGGCAGATGGGGTAATCTACTTCCATAGTGATACTGCCTCGGAAACCCAAGAAGGGGTCGTTATGAGTCGGGGCCAACTCGATGGCACCTAACAACAATAACAACACAACTTCTTGGTATTTTATGACATCCTCATTGGCATTTAAGTTTAACGTGTCCCTTAAAATTGCATTAAGCAACTCAGTTTTTAACTGCTTCATCGTGCCAGCTTTTTCTCCCCAACTCAACTTCCTGTTCCTCGTGGGTGAGAATCTAAGTCCCTGCTCTTTACACACTGCTCAGAACCTAAGACAGGCTTAGTGTTAACTGGGACCACGGCAAAGAGTTTCCTTTTCTTACCTCACCACACACAAGATTTCTGAAGGAGCTCTGGTGGCGTAATGCCTAAGGCACTAGACTGCTAACCAGAAGGGTGGAGGTTCAAACCCACCAGCCACTCCTCAGAAGGAAGGTTGGGCAATCTACTTCCGCAGTGCTACTGCCTCAGAAACCCAAGGAAGGGTCGCTGAGTCGGACTGGACTCGACAGCAGTGAGCTTGGTTTGGTTTTTGTTATACCAAATACAGCTGGTAAGATAAGGATAAATGGGAACACAGGGTCAGGGAGGGATTCCCATTCAAGACTGAGTGAGCGCTGTGGCTGCTTCTCCCCCCAAAACTCCACTGAAACGCCAGTTCTGATCAGTCCCTAGGGGCCTGGTCATCTCAGGCCAAGCTGTATCTGAGAATCCCCTGGAGGGCTTTCTAAGTTGTGATGGGCCACACACAGATTCTGACTTAACAGCTCCAGCCTGGACATAAGCAGTCGTCAGTTTTTTAAAAAATACATTTTACTGAAATATAACTTATATATAGCAAAATACACAAAAGTATGTCACAAAAGTGACATGGGTCAATGTTTTTTTTTTTTTTTTTTGCAGTACCTCCCCCTCCACCCCCATAACTGACAAAGTGTCCTTCCATATACAAGTAGAGACCTAATTTTTAAGTTCCACAGATGACTCCAGTACATGACTAGGGTTGTGAACCAGTGAACCACTAATGTAGGACATGAGACATGGGGAGAGGTTGGAGGATTTTAAGCAAAGGAATCCTATCTGGTTTACATTTTAAGGACTCGCTTGGGCTGCTAAGTGGACAATGCCCCCCTGGGACAAGAAGAGAAGCAGGGAGGCAGCAGTAATAGGAGGTGGTGCATGTGGCTTTGAGGAGGCTCATTCTGGGGTTGTGTGTAGCACTTGCTCTCCTGGTGCTGTAGTTTTGACTGCTGGGTGATCCTTGCTTGTTTGCAGTGTTTTCTCGGCATCGTTGTAAGGCTGTTTAACTGACAGGTTTCCTTTACAAGAAGGGTTTCTCCATAGGAGCGCCATGTAGGCGGGTTTCACTCTCAGGTGCCCTGCAAGGAGCAGCTAGGCACTGCAGGACCACTCAGTGCCTCAGGAGTGAGGCGCTGTGCTAATTTTCAGCACCCTGCTAGGACCCTATGCTGTCTGCAGGCAGGTGGTTCCCTTTCTTTAGAGATGGGGCTTGTGATCTTAGCATTGGGGTGACTGCAGCTGCCGCCGAGCTCTGCCAGGGCTGGATAGGGCAGCAAGGCAGGGACCCACTGTTGTAAAGATAGGCCTTCACGGTGACTCCTACTCACTGTGTCTGCCAGTTTTGAACTTGTAATGTCTCTGGATCCCTCCAGTGGTTTTATTTCCCTAGAGAACCCAGCATAACACAGACAGGCTCCACATCAACACCGGCCCCACATAGAGTTCACAGTTCTCATGTTAACCCTATGTCTTCATGTCCCTTCCCTTGTCCTCCCGTTTCCTCACCAGAATTGCCAACAAACACAAACAGACTACCTTAAATAACAATGAGGTTACTTTCCACACCAAGATTCTGGCAGACAGATTAACAAAGAAAAACATGAGTTAGGAGTTACAAGTAGAAAGGAGCCAGAGGTAAAAACCCATCTGCCTGGTGGCCAACTTTGGATTGGAAAGAGTTTCCCACTCTGAAGACTGACTTCAAGTGACACTAGACCGACTTCAAATTAAGCAAAGCATGCTTCCCTAGTAGAAATACAGCTCTCTCAGCCAGCATCAGACATTAAAAAATATAAGAAAGTTTCAAAATTATTAAAAATAATAAAATGATGATCTATCAACCAATCACCCAACCCGAGATCTAGAATACGGGCAGCCAAACTATGGGTCATGGGCCAAAGCCAGCCCCAACCTACTTTTACTTCACTTTTTTAACTTTTTATTGTGATTTGGATGCAACACTACAAGCAGCCTAAGACATTTTAAGGGAAACGTAACTATCAAAGTAATCGACTGAGTTAGGGACAGTCTGGGTCTATCAGTCACTTCGATAGCCTCATTTCCTTTAAAATGTCGGAGGTCTAGTAGTACCTTCCGCACTGAGGAGAGAATCGTTACCTTGGGCACCTCGCCCTTGCCGCCCGGGGGCAGCCGCAGGACCCGGAAGTTCCGGTTGCGCAGCAGGTTCTCCATGTTCTCCAGGCGCCGCTGCAGCAGCCCGTACTCCTGCAGCAGCGTCCCCAGCACGGCCCACCTGCCCTCCAGCTGGTTCCCGAGCTCCGCCACTGTCTTCTCGCAGCTGGCTAACTTCTTCTCTGCTGTCCCTGTGCGCCCTTCCAGATGCAGAAGTCGCCGGCTGTGGACGTCCACCTTTCTCTCTACGGCCTGGACGGCGGCCACCACGGTCCACAGGGAGATGGCTGCTGTCTGCAGGTGGGCCTCACTGGCTGCCGGGGGCGTGGGGAGAGGAAGGGGCTGCAAGGGCGCCAGACACTCAGCGTCCCATTCAGAAGTCTGTGTGGTGGAAAGAGAAGGCGGACACCGAGCATGAGAAGAAACCCTGACTCTGAACTGAAACGTGGTGAGAGCTGCTTCACCGACAGTCCGCATTAGTCTGCCGAGTTCTGCTGCCCACACAAGCCTCTCCCACGCAGGCAGCAGGACGGCCTCAGAAACCCCATGGTAACTCCACTGTCCCAACAGGTTGCTAGCAGTCAGAATCAAGTCGATGACAGTGGGTTGGGGTGGGCATAAGCCTCGACTGTCTGAAGATGCACTGGCATCACCAAGAGAGCTGCTCTGCTGGGTCAGGGTCGATCAGGTAAAATACCAAACGGGGGAAACTGGGTCCTGAAGAGTATCCCGGCCTGTTCTCCAGGATGTGAGGCCCTACAGCCAAGCACCCGGAGTCAGGTTGCTGCTGCTCCTCGACCTCTGGAGGCCAGAATGGACAAGGTCCTCCAGGTGTCGCCGAGCTCCATGCCCTCTGCTAAGTCCCACATATACTTAGGATCTGGCCCCTGCCACCATCCTGTTTATAAACCACAACCATACCATCCAGCAGTTGAATACACTGAGAATGCCGAGTCTAGAAAAAAGACAGCTGTTTAAAAATGTTTAAGGATTGTAAGACAGAGGCAGAGCAGACGTATTTAATCTGATACTGGGTAATTCCAGCCGGCAGAACTAGAACAAACACGTGGAACTGGCTGCCGGTCAGTGAAGGTACTTAAACCAAGAGTGGCCTAAAAGGAAGGTATGCCTACAAAACTAGCAGGTTGGACTGGGCGTATCTCTAAGAGGCCCCTGACCCGTTGACTGGAACCACAACCGCCACGTCCAGCTCGCCCACTCCCTCCCTTTCATTCCACCTGGGCTGTGTCCCATGGGTGGCTCCAGTCCCTTGACCATTCATTCCATTTGCTCCTGGTCTGTCAGCCTGCTCCTGGCTTCGCTTTCTTCCTGCCCAGCTGATCGCTTCAGCCCCCATCAACTCCTTCACTGCTGTCTTTCAGCCTCACGTGCTCAGCTCACTTCCAGCCCTGAATGAGCCCAGTCACTCTGCATTCCTGTTAGCAGGCTGGTCGATCCTACTAGAGGTTCACGTGACCTGGTAAACTGGTGTCACCACACACCTGTGATCTGTCATCTCACAGGGAGGCGCCTGCTGCCCGATGCCCTCCGTTTTCCTCCCCCGTTCCATAAAAGGGCTGTTACAGTCTCTCTGTACTTTTCAACTCAAGGCACGCAAGGGTCACGGTGCAGTGTTGTGTTTACAGGCAGATTTTGACTCCGTAGGTCTGGGAGGAAACTGAACCAAGCGTCCATGGGACACTGCTGGCTACTGCCCCTGCAGGGAGCCTGCTTTGAGCGGGAAGGCTCTTGTCCACTCCACATCCCCTCCCCCTCGGGAAATGACCTGCCCTCCTACTTTGAGGAGAAAATCAGACTTGAGGCCTAAATTCCCTCACTTTCTCTTCTTTTTCTTTCTGCTGCAAACTTATCAATACCATTCACCAGTCTCTTCTTCCCTTCTCAACACAGGAAGTTCATTCTATTTAAAGCTAATCTCTCCACTTGGGCTCTATGCCACCATGTTCCACGTTTTCAGGTGCACCATTCCTTTCTCTTCTGTATCTCCCACCTTTCCACCTCACCTGATTTTTCTCCTGGACTGTCCACTATTATAAACGAAAGAAAATAGTCTCACTGCCGGCAAGTCATATCCCACTCAGAGAGATCCCCCTTGGGTTTCCCAGGTGGTATCACTACAGAAGTAGATTGCCCAACCGTCCTTCGGAGGAGTGGCTGGTGGGTTTGAACCACCAACCTTCTGGTTAGCAGTCAAGTGCCTCAGGCACTACACCACCAGAGCTCCCTAGAGAGAGCTACCACTAGGGCAGCCAAGGAGGGGTGGCTATGAGTTGAACTGACTCCAAGGGAGGGAGTGGCTTTTTTTGGGGGGGCGGGGGGGATATAAAATACGCGCAGATTTTGAAAACCTAGCATGCAAAACATGTAAAAGATCTCTAACAATTTTCCAATGCTGATGCCACGTTCTGGACATACTGGGTTAAATACAATAGCTGCTTTGGATTAACTTTGTGTTTCTCTGTACTTTTTAAACGTGGCTACCACGGAATTTAGTTCTCCATGCGGCTCCCACTGTATTTCTACTGGACATACTGGCAGACACACACCATCTGCTACCATCCAGGGAAAAACACACAGACTGGAACGAGAAGTCGCGGGTCGGGATGGCGTCCCCATCGCCTCCCTTTTCAAACGCCCTCTGCTCCCCTTGCAGCCACTCCGCAGGGACCCTTCCCGCCATCGACGCGGTTTCCGCGCGGATCGCGGGCCTGGACCCCGTCAGCGGCGGGGAGCCG